AGTTGTCAACCTACCATCATCACTTGAAATAAGATCAGGGTTGTCTTTTCTTAGAAACCATGTGAAATTCCTAATGGTGCAGCAGACCAAAAGCAAGAGGTGTGGATTCTATTTCTATCTTCATTTCTAAGTGACTTTCAGGTCACTTAACCAAACCATGGCTAATCATGGGTAAGCGTCTATTCAATAGGATATATGACCAGTTTATGGACATTACAGGATTATTGTAAATTTCAAATGAGAGAAACATTCAATCCTTTAACAACTTTAACAGCAGACAGATATAGAAAATTTTAATTATTCATTCTTCACTTATTATTCATACTTACTCACAGCCCAGTAGCAAAATGTGTCCCTGGCAGTACAGTTTATCCAAATAAAGGGAGACGATGTGTCAAAATGAGGTTTCCCTTCTCTGCTGACAGCAAACAAATGTATTCAATAACTGCCAAGTAATATTTTCCTCTGAATAATAATATATAATAATATAACTTTCTAAGAAGTGTGTGAGACAATGTAAGAATTACGTTGTGGCTGGTAATTTGATAAATGAACTCAAAAGTTAGTTTTAAGACACATGAAGAACAACAAAATGGCTTGCCTCAGAAGTTTTACATATGATCGATACAATACCCAGTGAGAAAGGTCAGAAACAGCAAAATATTCAATAACTAAATTTTGTTATAAAAACATCAGTGGCCACAAGTTTTAATACCATAATAACTTAAACATATATATGTAAATATACATTCCTTAAAATAATCGTACTCTTAAAAATATATATGTGTATGTACGTGTGTATATCTATATAGATATATGTACATGTATATATTTATGTCTATATCTATATAGATATAGATATACACACATATGCATTCTCTCTCTTTTCACACACACACATGCTTACTTACATATACATATATAAACCCAAAGAGGTAGGCTTTAATCCTCATTTCAAATCAGAAAATATTCAGGGTGAAGATACGGAAGAAAGTAATTATCGTTTTAAAATATTTATTACATGCCACACGCATTTCTTATCCTTTATTCCTTGTTGATATACTCTCTTGATAATGTTTTTCACTCCCATGGTTTCCACAATAATCTGTGATGGCTCCCTATCTCTACAGCTCCAGCTTGAATCCTTCTGCAGAACTTCCAACCTGTATACCCAAAGAAAGGCTCCTAGACAGTCTAACCTTGGAATTAAAAGACCAGGTCCTAAAGCTTGACTCCTGGCTCCATTGTTTACAAGTTGTGTATTTACAAGCTTCATGTCACTCTGAACCTAGAGTTTATAGGTGTGTAAACCTATGGCTCCATGGTGAGTTTCCTATTACCACCTGACTGAGAAAGAAAGAATTTGGATATGGTTCTGCAAAATATGCTAGCCGTACCTGAAAGCAGACAGCTTCAACAATACGGTTTAATTTCAAGTTGGCCATGAAGAAGAAGGGAAATCTTCCTGGTGGGCAGTACATTAAGTAGCATACATGGTTGTTAATTTTGCCTGGAAGGAGAAATGGCCAGAGGTACAATTCTACACTAAGTCATGGGTATCAGCTAATGGCTTGGCTGGCTGGTCAGGGAATTAGAAGGAACACTACTGGAAAATTGGTGACAACAAATCTGCAAATGGATTATGTGAACAGACTTTTCTAAATGGGTACAGAGTGGGAAGGTATTCAGGTCCCATATAAATACTCACCAAAATGATACTCAGCAGAGAAGCATCTTAGTAATCAGGTGGACAAGATGATCCATTCTTATGGCTATCATTCTCTTTCTCAGCCACTCTGTGCTTTCACAATGACTCAGAGACAAAGTGGTCATGACAGCAGGGATGGAGATTATGTGTGGGTTCAACAACATGGACCTGCACTCATCAAGGCTACTCCGACTATAGACACTGCTGAGTGCCTAATCTACTAAATGGACAGACTAACACTGTACCTCCATTTGGCACCATTCCTTAGAGGAAGGGAGGGAATCAGTTAGCCATCATTGTCAGGGTGATTTCATTGGACCACTTCCATCATGGAAAGGGCAGCACTTTGTTCTCACTTGAATACACACTTACTAACAATATAGATTTACCTTCTCTCCCTGTGACTTTTCTGTGAATACCATCATCCAGGAACTTGCAAAAAGCCTTATTTAGCACCACAGTATACAACGCAGCACTGATTCTGACCAAGAAACTTACTTCATAGCATAGGCTCATACTTATGGGAGTCACTGATTTTACCACGTTTCCCATCACTGATAGACTGGTGCAATGGTCTTTTGAAGAGTAAGTTACAACAACAGCTGTATAATACCACCTTGCCAGGCTGAGGTAACGTCTTCCAGGATGTTGGATACTCTCTAAATAATGGCCATTTTCCCTGAGCTGGGATTTACAGGTCTGGGAATCAAGAGGTAGAGATGGGAGTGGCTACTCCACAATTATCCCTAGCAAACCACTAGAGAAATATTCATTTCCTGTTCCCATAACTTTGAGTTTTGCTGGTCTAGAAGTTTTAGACTTCCTCTACGAATCACAGCAATGGTTCTATTAAACTGGAAGATGAGAGTGCCACCCTGCTATGGGTAAAGAAACTTTGTGTCCTCTTTTGGGGATAGGATTAACGTGTTCGTTTTTGAGGAAAAGTTGCATTACGTTAGGTGAAAGTATATTTTTGCTATTGTCTTTGTTTGAAATATAGGTATGGTTAGGAAATATACGCACTGATGTCAAGTTGACAAGGGGTGGATTACTGTGACTTTATAAGTGTCACCTTAGCTAGGCTTGAACTACTTTTTCCAGAATTCCTGTCCTTCTACGGTTTCAGGTTAGGGCTGGCCACAAGAGAGAAATGCATGAGACAGGGATAGTGGACACAAGACAGCAATCATTTTACGCTTACAAGGTTGGCATAGAACACCAGGTGCTGCGGCAGCTTGCGTATGGTGTTGCTGATCTTCTGTTGACTTTATTGATATGGAATAGCACCTAGGTCTTTAGATAGTTAAACTCCTACCAGTTCTTCTTTAGCTTTTTTGAGTCCTGTTCCAGGTGAATGTGCACTTCCACAGTGAAGGGCACCAACTTCTCCCATAAGTCATCATGTCAGTGAGACAGTGAGAAACAGGCACAGGTTCCAGTTCATATTCATGATTCCAGTGCATCCTTCCCAATTCCAGGAGGTCCTACTTCACATTCAACTTTCCTCCTTTACTGAGCATGAGATACAGAGCAATAGCCTTGTGAAGACTTCTCCACTATCACAATTGCATGGGAATTAGAACTAATTCCCATAACTAATCCTATATTCTATACTCCTCATACTGGTTCTGTCTCTCTCATTAAACATGACTGATACAATTAGTATGGAGAATACATAAAAAACTTCTACAAATGAGTAAGACAAACAACTGAATAGAAAAATGGCAAAAGAAACAAACAGAAAAGTCACACACACACATAAAAACCCAAAAAGCTAATATAGGCTGCTCGACCTCATCAGTAATCAGAGAAACACAAAGTAAAATATGAGCTACTATTTTACACTCATCACAGTAGCAAATATTAAACTGTATGAAAACTCTAAGAGGGAGTTTGGATGGGGAACATGAGGAAGTTGTACATATTGCTGTTGAGGCTGTAAACTATTTAACCACTTTGGGACTAATTTAGCAATACTGATAAAGCTGAAAATGGGCATTTCTTAAGACCTACCAACTCTACCTAGGAATGACCCTACAGGAACTCTCACATAGTAAAAATGGAGAGGAATATGTAAGGTCCTTTATCTAGAGAATAATGGTATTAATATATTTTTGAGCTTGAGGAACAGTACACTTACCTTGAAGTTACTCATCCAGGAGGAGGAGGTGGTCTCCACAGCCAACTGTGATAGGCAGCCCTTAAGATAGCCCCCAATGACCCATCTTGAGGTAATCATGCCCTTGTATAATCCTCTCCCCTTTTATACGGCCTTGATTTAGTGTCTTATTTCTAATGAATAAAATATGGTGGAGGTGATGAAATGCTACTTGCAAGACTAGGTTATAAAAAGACTGTGGCTTCTGTCCTGGTCACCCTCTCTTACTGTTACATTGTGAGCTGCCCTATGGAGAAACACACACAACAAGGAACTGATGTCTCCAGCCCATATCCAGCTAGGTCTGGAGGCCAGTAAACAGCCATATGAGTGAGTTTGGACATGGATCATCCCCTAGTTGTGCCTTGAGATGATTACAGCCCTGTCTGACACTTTGATTGCAGAAGTGTGAGATCCTGAGCCAGAGGCATCCAGCTAAGTCATGCTCAGATTCTCGACCCACAGAAACTGTGAGATAATAAATGTTTGTTGTTTTAAGACACTGAGTTTTAGAGTAATTTGTAAAATAGCAATAGACAACTAATACAGCTTCTAATAATACACCTAAACTAATAATCATTGCAAACCCACAGTAGTAAACAAATTCATTATTTTCAGACTAATAGGGACTCTGAATTAGCTAAAGTCACCCATTAATTCATTAATTCAACCAATAATTACTAACGGCCTAATCTATCAGGCCCTTTTGTACGGATACAGTCATGAGAAAAACAGTGCCCAACCTATGCTTTTACGGAGTTTTGCACACAGACAATAAACAATAAAACATTTCTTACGTCACATGACGGTAATTGGTACCGAGAAAATTACAGCAGGGAAGCAGGATAGACAAAGCCTGGTCTAAGTAGGAGTTGTAATTTTAAAAATGATCAGATTATGAATATGTTTTAAGGAAAGATTCAATGGGATTTGCCAGACAATTAAATTAACTTGTAAAGTACATATGTGTGTATATCTACTGAAGGATACCTACTGTAAATCATTAAGCCAGAAGAATACATGCTTTGTTAATTCTACTTTCAAATATTTATTATTCATAATCCCCTGTAATCTATACCCACTGCTACTGCCTTGCTTCCAGGCACTATAAAGACTATTCTCAATGACTTTTTAAGGTTTCAAATGTATTTTATTTCTCAATTATGTTAAATTTTAATGAGCAGCAGAGCCCTTAAATGACAAGTCGATTTTGAAACAATTCTGTATTACAGTAACTGTGATAGTTACTCATCATTCCACTCTTTTGGGGTGACTCTGCCAACAGGGGATAGGTTCCATTCTATTCCAATCTTTGTGGTTGTAAACAGCCATGCAATAATACAGAAAATTGTTCCCCTGGCTAGCACAGTATTACCATGTTTGTCATGAAAATCTGGTGAGTGTTTTGCATGACTCTGTCTTGCCCTAAGTTGCTGAATGCTTCGAATCCTGAGACAACTTAGTACATTTCTGGCCAAGGGAAACATCATGAAGGTGTGATACGACTGCAGTTGATTGCAGCTGCTGGTCTATTTTCTTGCAAAGAGACCTGGAAAAACAAAAGATGGGCAATGATATCTGATCTACATTCAGTTCCTCCCTCTTTGTCACCCACACCACCCCTTGGATTGTGACAAGGCATGTGAGTTTTGAAATCATGATGTCTGGGTTTGAGTCTTAGCTCTCCCACTGATTAGCTGTACAAACTTGAGCAGTTATTTAACCTCTCTTTGCCTTATATTTTTCAATGGCAAACTGAGACAATAATGTCTAGCTCCAAGGGGTGTTGTGAGATTACATGTGATAATCTATAACAACAACAACAACAAAAGTAAACAGACAATAAGTGTTGGCTTTTCTATTCTTCACAAACAGCCAATGGCTGCTTCCTAGATAAACTCTAAACTCACTAGCATGCCTGATAAAATGGCTAAAATTCCCAACATCTCCCACTAGACCAATGGCCTGCCTATGTCTACTATAAACTCTGGTTTCAGTCAGAATGACAAAGCATTCACAGCATATGTCATACCTCCTTGTCCCCTTGCTCTTTTTCTCCCTCCCTTTTAACTCCCTCTCTCTCCTCCCCTCTTCTCCCTCTCTACCTGTAATTCCTGCCATGCACCTTCCTACAGGTAAAATTCTACTTGGCTTTTAAATCCCAGTCCAAAAGTCACTGCTTCTGTGAAGTCTTCTCCAAACCTCCCTTGGCTGAATGAGCCCCCTCTTCTCCAGGCTACTATACTTCTTATAATCATTCTTTCAGAGTATTTAACATGATGCATTGGATTTATGATTTTTTAAAATAGATTTTGCTTTCTTAGAGCAGTCTTAGGTTCATAGCAACACTGAGTAGAAAGTACAGAGAGTCCCCATATACACTCTGACCCCACACATGTATAGCTTCTCCCTCCTGCACCAGAGTATAGTATTACATTTGTTACAAACAATGAGTCTACATAAGTCTCTTATCAGATATGTCTTTTGCAAATATTTTCTCCCAGCCTGTGGCTTGTCTTGTCATTCTCTTGAAGAATTATATTCTCCTCCAATAGACTGCAAGGTCTTCAAGAGCAAGGGATATAACTTTGCATACACAGTAGCTGACACAAAAGCATAGAAAGAACTTTTCTGAACCAATCTGAAATATAAATGAACACTGATGCCCTCATAAGAAGTCAAAATGAACACCGAGAGTAAGTCAAAAAATCAGATGTACATGTTATAAAAGTCCTAATAATTTTTTTCAACAGATAGTTACACCGAACAAGAGATCTAGAAGCAGAAACATATGGAGGAGTTCTGTCAGTTTCTCTTTTTTGTGCAAGCTGTCAAACAGTGCTCAGTCTCTAACAATGACATATGTTAACTACGGCCCCAGTGTAGGCAACATGGATACAAAGGGCCTGAGGTCAGTACTTGTAAACTTGTAACTGTTCACTGAGATTTGCCAACTCAAATGACTTTACTCCCAACTTAGAAAATAAGACCCTAAGGTTCTCTTTTACCAGATGGTGAAGTGGTACTCTACATGATTATGACAAAGAGGGCCAAAACAGAACCAAATGCAGTTCTTCTGAGGATCCAAATATTCAAAGATTTTTTTTCCTGTTAGTTAGGAATCTCTCTACCAAAAGGCACTTAGGCTGAAGGTGAAATGGGTCAGAGTGTAACAGGTGCAGCCTTAATCCAATACAAAAGCACTTGCGCCACTCATTGCTTTCAGTCTTTAGGAAGGCACATAATGAGAGAATAAGTTGTGATAACAGGGATCTCTTGTGGGTCATTGAGTCACACTTGTTACTTTATGACAAACTGATGTCACTATTCCTATCTTCACGATGTTAAGTTGAAACTCAGATATGTTGTCTCTAGTGATATTGATCACATCCCTTTGTAGTTTAGTCCATCCTTTGGCTATTCCCATATCTGTGAAGCTTTTCTTTTCCATCTAGCCTGAATTTTCTTGCACCAATGTGTCCATTACTAAGAATTTTCTTTTAGGAACTCCTTCTGTAGTTTGTAGTTGGCATTTCATCCTATAATAAACAAACTGACATCTTTTCATTCCTTTTTTGTTTTTCCTTGTCGGCATCAGCTACATCTGTCTCAGTTGCTTTCACATCTACCTTATATCTATTTTTGTTTACACAACACATGTAAGAGCTAGGAACCCATTGATCAGAGAAATTTTCCAAATTGCTAAACTCCACAGGACTTACTTCTACAATAAATTTTGTGTTATCGAAGAGCCCTGAGCCTATTACCCAAAGAACTGAAGCTAAAGATTCTAATATCCATATGAAAGCATAAAAAAGGGAAATTCAATAATATAATGCAGGTAAAGAAAATGCTTCTCAAAGTAGATACTTTCTGATGAAAACAGACTGCAAAAAGATGGAAGAAGACAGATTTTTCTGGGTAATAACAAAGCAGAGGTTCTCTCATGCCTGTGGCAATAAAAGAAAAGAAATATTCTGAATAAATATAAATAGTTAAAGAGAGTGAAGTATCCTATGAGGATGAAAAGGAAAGATTGATTGTGTCATCTATTTTACACAGTAATGTGGAAGTTCACTTCAAGAAAAATAACTAATACTGGATCTCAATCTAACTGCGATAAGGATGTATATAGATTTGCAGCTTCACTGGTAACAATAATAATTTCAACTTACTAAAGGCCATAAAGAGAAGTAAAGCAATAATGCAGGAAGGAAACTAATATTTATTGAATATATGCCTGTTTACCAGACATTGTGCCAGAATTTTGCACATCTGCAAAAACGGTGTGAGATAGCGATTATTTATTTCCATTTTACACACAAGAACAACTGACAGGACAAGATGTGAACTCAAGTCCTCTTATCCTAAACGCAGCGCATTTTTCAACTATATCATGTTTTCTTAAAGTGTATTCAATTCTGAGTATTGGAAATAAATAAAACAAAAAACCCCAGCGTGGCTACCAGAGATGGCCCTTTAATTGAAAATGGTTCACTTCCATTTACTATATATTTATTGAGTGGCTACTGATGTGTCAAGACCCCGGCTGGGTGCCAGTGGCACTGTGCCTGCTCTCGAGAAGCTTATGGTGGAGTGAGGGAATGAACAGAGCCACTGTTCTAAGGGAGGAGACAGGCTAGAGGTGAGCACAGGGTGCCCTTAGTCCACAAAGACATACACTTCAACCTGCAGTTCTAACAACCGTTTTAGAGGAAATAACACTTAGGCTAGATCTTGAAGGATGATTAAGAAATATAAAAAGTAAAGTTGGGGGAAAAAACATAAATGAAGAAGCAAAAGCCAAAGCACAGAGGGCTGAAACAGTATGGGGGCAGGGCAATCTGGTGAGTTCAACACACTAGCTAGTAAGTGTGCAAGCAGCAAATGCCCACAGATGAGCCTGAGGGACGAGGAAAGGACAAGAGCACCCTGAGGACTTCCTAGGCTTTGCTACGGCATTTGGACTCAATTCTATGGGTCAGTATTTCCCGCTGCTGCTTTTTCTGTGAGTTAACAATGAGAATTCTTTTTTTTTTTTTTTTTCCAGGTAAGGATTCGCCCTAAGCTAACGTCTGTTGCCAATCTTTCCTCTTTTTTTTTTCTCTTCTCCCCAAAGTCCCCCCAAGTATGGTTGTATACCCTAGTTGCAAGTCCTTCTAGTTCTTCTAGGTGAGCCACTGCCACAGGACGGCAACTGACAGACGGGTGGTGTGGTTCCGCAACCAGGAAGCAAACCCAGGCCGCTAAAGCAGCGAGCGCACCTAACTTTAACCACTAGGCCATCAGGGCTGACGCAACAATGAGAATTCTTAATTCCACGTTTTCACTTTCACAAAAATACAAAGAAATATAAGAAAATAATATGGGACCTGGATGATGTAGCTTATCAGTTTCTAGTGCCTGTGTTAATCTTTGTTCTGCATTTTGGTTGCACTAGTGTACAACATTTATTTGTCCTGGGCTAATGTGAAAAGAATGGAAGTGGCTTTTATATTTAAATGATGTGTGTACGCCAGGGACAAAGCGAAGAATTAGACAAATGGAGTCATGTCACAGCTCACTATACAGCACAGGCATTTGAAAATAAAAAACTTATGGCCACTGCAAGTAGTGTTATAGTTTCGGGACAATATAAACTGTCATATTGAATTAATATTGCAAATTAGAATTTTCTTTGTTGTATAGTTGGTTCATTTTTAATTTAAAAATATGTTTTGATTTCATAGTTGCATTAAGCTTTAAACATAAAGAGGATGAATTTGGTTTTATGTTTACACATATATAAGTGGTTTTATAATAAAATAATTTAAGATGGTACAAGTGATACGAAATAATTTGTTTCTCCTTTAAAAACATTTCATACATTATCCAAGTTTGAGAAACAGTCTTATAGGTGAGGTCTTATAGGTGAAGAGAAACTACTGATCGGTTTAATCAGGAAAAAGTTGGGGTAGGGAAAAATCTGGGGGAAAAAGCACTTTACAAAGATAATTGTTAGGTGAAGAATGGGTGGGAAGATGGCAACAGTGGCAGAAAAGTCAAAAGGTTAAGTAAGTGTTTATTTCAATGGTTCATAAAAAAGATGATGAGGATCTGAATTAAGTACTAACAATGGAGACAAAAAGGAGATAGAATTGAGAAATATTAGGAAAATAAAATCAGACTGCTTGAAAAATAAGTTACTCTAAGCAAATTAAGTAATCCATTCACTTAGCTTCTGGGTTAAGATTTTGGCCAAAAACTGTCTCAATTTCTGATAAAAATCATCAGACATTGACACTGTAGCTTGTAGCTGACCCAGGGAATTAGAGTATGGGTGATCTAGGTACAGAATGCAGGGAGGTCAAAGCAGACATAATGGAGGTGCTCTAGGAATAGGCATGTCTTGACAAACTGAGTAGAAGAAGCGAGACGGATCCTAAAAGGATTTACTATATGGTCTTGAGGAAAAAAATCAACTTCATCTAAGTATAGCCTAACATGAACCAATAAATGATCTGCTTAGCTTTGATATAAGACTTTCTATCTAATTTCTGGAAGAAAA